CTCCGGCAACCAACTTCCGACGTCAACGTCTTTGATTTGACGGCCAACTCATGTCCTCTTTGATGATCCGGAGCCCGCAGCCACCGGAACTCTTCATCGTACTTTCAATCCCGCCGGCTCCTTGGAGGCATTCACCTCCGCCGGCCACGAGATATAAGGTTTAGAGTTTGGGCCAGGGTTTGGGGCTGAAATCAGGCTTCTATAGAATCTGGATATATGATTTGTTTTGGACTTAGTTTTTGAAAAATTGACATTCTTTAGGTACTTAATAGCAATTTCAGGATTTTTTAATATATTACAATTCATTTAATGGGATGCATTTTCCTTCAATTGGAAGAATGAACCTTTCTACGTTTCTGTATGCTGGTCCACGCCTCCCTTTCTTTGAAAAGGGAAATTTGACTAGATATTTGACATCCCTCTCTATATATTAATTCAAAACGTGTTGAGCCTAGGTGGCAGATTCTCACGCTTCAGATGCAGACATGGCGAAAATCTATGCTTCGTGATGTTGTTTTTGTATTATTTTTGCTTTGGAGTTAGGTTTGGTATTATACATAAATAACTTTACACATATATTCATTAACTTAACACCCATGTTGTACATGGGTATTAGTACTAGTTTTAATGTAATTCACTAAAAATCTAATAACTGTGTATGAATGGTGAAATGTTTTTAATTGTGAAAGCTAATAACCGTTCATTAAAAATATAATAATTGTACATGAATGGCGAAAGCACGGCACATTACCATCTTGTATATTGCACATCGACGATTAATAAAACGCACAATAGTATGTGTATATGTACGTTAAAAACTAAAAAAAAAAATTACAAACGTTTCACCGCGCTGCATAATGCACGATATTGTTTATTGGTTAGTTCGATTCAACTGACCGTCTAGAACGTTAAAATCGAAATAATCGAGTCGAATATTTGTAAAATTTGAACCGACCGAATTGTTGTCCCAAACCGAATTAAAAATCGAACTGAAGTGCTTGGTTCTTTCGATCGGTTAACCAATTTAGCGAAAATATCCGAAGTAAATTATAATTTATATTTATAAAAATATATATTTTGTATTTTAATTTGTTGGTTCAATAATCTTTATCTATATTTTGCCCAAAATAATTACTATATTTGTATAATAATATAAAAAAATGAAACCAAATAAAAAATAATCAAAATGTTAAAATTGAAAACAATAATCGAACCGAAATATGAAATTTCATAACGATTATTTTATTTAGATCAACTTAGACCACTATTGTGCAATATGTCAACCATTTATTTAGATCAATTTAGACCACTATTGTGCAATATGTCAACCATTAATGTGCAATTTGTATAACACTTTTGTGCATGATTTATTCGGTTTAACCGAATAATCACAAATACCCATAATAGTTTATTCACATTATAAAATAAAATTAGTATTTTTATATTCTTATTTAATATTTAGTATTAAGTTTGGAATTTATATACATATAAATAAAAAAAATCGGTAATATTTGTCATATAGTTCGTCATGTTCAGTTATTTTATTTATTTAAAAAAAATAAACTCGACACTATCCAACTAATATTATTCGATCGATTAGTCGAATTTATGTAATTTTGGTACGGTATGTGCAGCATGTTTTGTCATAAAGGGCAACATATTGTTTATAAAGTGTAATATCTTGATATATAATGTGCAATACTGAAATTTTGTTACATTAGCATGCTTGTGTTTATTTGTGGATAGATGAGGTGATGGACATTAAAGTATTATGGATATCTAATTTTTAGATTTATACTGCGTAATATTTTAGCGGGAGTGACACTAACTGTGTAGTGTGGTGATAAAGTGCAGTAAGATTTTATATAAAGTGCAATATTCTGCGTTGTATAAAGTTCATTAGTTTGTACTTTCACATATAAAAAAAAAATAATTTAAAATTCATATCATACAAATATATTTAGTAGTTAAATATTTTTATTTAATATTTTTTATAATTATTTTGTTGAAAAGTTATAATATAAATTTAAAAATATTATTGTTATATACATTTGTCGGTTGATCTAGAAAAATGAAATCTAATCGTAATAATCAGTTTATTTAAAGTAAAGAACGAACACCGAACTGAAATATGTAATTTGTATAAAAAAATATATTTCGGTTCATTTCGAGTGGTACATAACACTAAAGTGTAATATCACATACACAAAATTGCAACTTGACAGTCATTAATATGCATGTTTTTCGACAACTATGTGCAGTCTGTACAGACCAATTTCGTCCCAACCAAATTGAAAGCAAACGCTAATGTGCATTTCAATGTTAAAATTTTTTTATAATATGTATTTAATTATCATTTTTTGATAATATGTATTTAATTAAAATTACGATTCATTTATCAATTTATTTATACAATAAAAAATATATGCACTATTTATATTTTTTGTATTTAATATTTTTTATTATTAATTTGATTAACAGGTGCATTTGTTATGCTAAAGTACAATATCACTAATACAAAAGTGCAACCCGTCAATCAATAGTGTGCAATATGTCCAATAATATTTTAATATTTTATTTTATTTTTATTTAATATTTATATAAATTTTAGAAATAATATAATATATACATGTATAAAAATATTAAAAAAATAATATGTCCACCATTATTGTGCAATTTGTATAATACTCTTGTGCATGATTTATTCGGTTTAACCGAATAATCACAAATACCCATAATAGTTTATTATTCACATTATAAATTAAAATTAGTATTTCTATATTCTTATTTAATATTTAATATTAAGTTTGGAATTTATATACATATAATATATATATATACACATATATATAAATAAATAAATCGGTAATATTTTTTATATAGTTCATCATGTTCAATTATTATATTGATTTTAAATAAACTAAATTTGACATTATCCAATTAATATTATTCGATCGATTAGTCAAATTTTTGTAATTTTTGTACGGTATGTGCAGCATGTTTTGTCATAAAGTGCATATCGTTGTATAAAGTGCAACGTATTGATATATAATGTGCAATACTGAAATTTTGGTACATTAGCATGCTTGTGTTTATTTGTGGATAGATGAGGTGATGGATATTGTATTATGGATATTGGCATCAGTTGTATTTTCCAGCTTCATTAGATTAACCAGATAGGGTTGGTTTGTAGCCTAATAATACACCATGTGAAGGTCTTATTCTTTAGCAAGACACGTAAAATCATACATCCACTGGAGATCAATTAAAATATATTTATGGAAAAGATTCATAGAAAGGACTTCAAACGACTTCAATTAAGATAGAGTTCATATCCATACAAATGCAAGAACTCAACGGATTAACATCATATGAAATTGAAATCTTCTCCTTTTTGTATGCATTATGTACAGGAAAATCATACCTCCATTGGAGATCATTAATTTCTCGAAGCAACTCCCGTTCCCTATCATGGGCGGCATCTAACTACCAAAAGGAAATGTAAAAAATAAATATCAGAATAACAGATACGTTTCAGAACAGTAATCGACTTTAGCCCTATGACATTTTTGTATCTAGGGATACGATACAGTAAAATTTTATTAAAAAGAAAAATAATTTATATCAATCAAAATCGAAATTTCTGCGTACCAAAGATTTCTCAGTACATGCCATGTTATCTGTGCGCTTTCCACATCTGCAAATACAGATAGATAATCAAGTGAAACTATAAACGCGTGTGTGTCTGTGCGTGCATGTGTGTTACAAGATATTCTATGAATAGTTGTTTATACCCAAAAGAACACCAACAGCTATTTGCTTCATTAAGCGAAGAATGTTATCCTGTTAATGTGATATGGAAGACAAAAATCAGATACTTGAACAAAATATTTAAAGTAATTAAAGAAGAAAATGTGTGTGTGTGTGTGTGGGTATGTGTATGAGAGAGAGAGAGAGAGAGAGAGAGAGAGAGAGAGAGAGAGAGGTTCTCATAATAAGAACCATTACCCTTTGAATAATGTTTGTCTGCAGAACAGTCAGTAAACTGGGGAAATGGCATGACCAGAACTGGAAGTAGCATAAGAGAGTGATGGTGATGAAATTGAAGAAACTGGAGACCTAAATATCCAATAAATGCCAAAAATTCAAAATTGGTCGATAATTTGGCCACTGTACAAAAAACCACTCATATATTGACCACTTTCAATTTAGGTCCTATAATTTGTCGATTTCATTAATTTTGATCCTTTTTTATCCGCACCCTGGATTAAAAAGTGATGTGGCATGAAAAAAGGACCAAAATTGATGAAATAGACAAATTATAGGACCAAAATTAACGTGCCACGTAGATCATAATCACGCCATGTAATTTTTAATCCAGGGTGCGAATAGAAAGGACCAATATTGATGAAATCGACAAATAATAGGACCTAAATTGAAAGTGGTCAATATAGGGGTGGTTTTTTTGACAGTGGCCAAGTTATAGGACCAATTTTGAAATTTTGCCTCCAATAAATAGTCCATATTGTAGCTTATAAATACACCATCTGAAGATCTTATTCTTTAGCAAGACACGTAAAAATCAGGTCATTCATAGAAATAGAGGAATACATCAAAATACTTCAAGGTAGGATCCTAAACTTTAGATTCCAAGCGCTTAAGAATATATTTTTATGATTTGATTAACGAACAATTAACTGACGTTCTTCGCCAAACCCAACAATTGGTATTAGAGGCCAAGTTTAATTCGATTTATTGATCAATAATTAAAATAGACTTGCATGAATTATTTACATGCAAGTGCGACGAATATAACACATATATACATAATTTGAATTTTCAAGATTGTGGGAACCAACTATTATGATCCAAATGTATGTGTTCAATTAATGCACGTTCTTAAAGCCTTCATATGTCGAAGATTTATTGTTGCACTACTTCATTGTTACTTTCATCAAGATAAGTAAAGTAAGAGAAGTACGATGACTTTGATTCATAAGGTACGTGGTAACACAAAACTCCTCGACCGGCTGGAACTTGAGTAATCGCCTTCCTTCTCGCCGGTTGAACGTCGTGTACCTACAAAGAACTCTCACACCGGAGGGGTTTTCCGGTGAAGAGCCTCCGATGCTTAAGTCAGTGTGTATTCAATCAATTCTCAAGAGTAATAGAATGATCGTGTTGAAGAAGAAAGGCTCACCCCCTTTATATAGAGGTGAGATACCTGACCTAGGGCTGCCCGGATCTGATGAGCTGTCTGCCCTAACTGCCCGTCCGTACGCACCAAACGCGTGTGTCAGAGGTAATCGTCGCCACTACCACCTGCACCAATCCCCTTTGGACGCGTGTCCTCC